TTTTAATATGCCACTTACAAAGGTAGTATTAATTCCACCATAGATTGTCGACTGATATTTAGATATGTTCTTCAATGGCATTTATTATAATTCAATGAAATAAAATAAAGTTGTTTTGAAAAAAGTGGTCATTCGGTATTATGTGTCAAAAGATAAACTGAAGCATATGTTTTTAATAAATTTTTAATAAAGTTTTTATTAAAAAGTCCTGCATATAGGTAGAAATAATTTTGGGTGGGTATCTGATGCCACATATGCTATTCGTTAAAAATGGAAGTTACATTAATCTAGTTATATATTTGGCCATTGTGCATGACCTTTAGTGTTGTATTTTATATTAATAAAATTCATGCATTGGCCTTCAGATTATGAACCAATCTAAAGTAAAATCTAACCCAAGCTAAAGCAGCAACAGTAGAAATTATACCTTCAAAGGTTAGGATACAGTTCCTTTTTCATACACAATAACAGTTTGGAACTCTTTCATAAGATCACACAAATGATTTGAAATGCAGTAATCTGTATTATACTATACCATGCAACAGAGAAATAATGCAACACGAGACAGATGGATAATAAGAACCAAGTAATATCTGTACCATTGTTCTATCGCTCAACATAAATGCATATGCAAATTTTGCTTGGTAAAGTGTCTGTATTTTTAAAACTACTAGAGAGAAAGTTTTCATTGAATTATATAAATACATACAGGCACATAGATGCACACAACTAAATCCACATATATGTTATAAATACATACTCACGCATCTATGATACATTTTCCAAAACTTAACAGTGCATATACAAGATTTTAAATGTTAAAAATAAAACGATCCATTGAACATTATTTTGAATGTCCTCTTTCAGAAAAAATATTAGTTATGACCTAATATCAAAGCAAAATTTCTGGTATATATACATGTGTTTTTCCTAATTACACATTTTTAACAGAAAAAATTCTAAAATGATATTTAACTTTATGGAGTTTTTCTTTTTGCATAAAAGTTAATCATTTACTTTTAAGGGTAATGACATGACAGTATTAATAGCTCAAGTATTTCTCTTAATTTTATGCTATCCATATAAACATAAGCAACTGTTTCAATTCAAAATATTAACTAAATCTTTTAAGACCTTTTTTCAAACTCCTATTACTTAAGTCTCTTATACTTTTACCTACAGAATGCAAATTAATTTGCAGATGACTTAGTCTACATTTTTACCACCGTAACTCAAGCCATTGGATATGCTGAGTGTTAAGCATTACAATACTTTCTATTCTCAAAAAAAATTAACTACAGATTAGGTCTCTACTGCTATATAAGCTCTTATTTTTTCAATACTACGAGTTTCATTTTAAAGGCAAACTTGGGGTACTTTGTAGTTCATACTTTACTTACCTGAATTCAGATCATATATACAAAATGAAGAACAATAGTCTGAAAGTATACAAACGAATCCTAAACAATGAGACAGGAATGTGTTTTTTTTGGAATATGGGTATTATTTAAACAGCAAGTGTAGATAAGTCTATGTTAATATTGCATATGGTTCATTGAGTGGCTTATAATTTTGAAGCTGTGACATGTCAGCAAATACATCGATATTTCTAGAAGATCAAAAAGAGCCATATATCTGTTAAATATAAATTGCTTCTGGCTCACAAAAAAATAACCATGACTATTTTTTAAAGTAAAATGCTAGCTTTATAATTTTTTACTCATATAAAATAATTTATTATTACATTTTCTTTGACTGAAGAGAATTAAACACAAAGAACCCAAGAAATATTTTAGATGAGATAGAACACACATATACATACTTTGTATATATGCATTATACATGAAGAAATTTTTGTATGGAACAAGTGGTCAAATGGCCTGTTAATTACTTTTCAATGTTTTGAAGCTAATAAATCATGTCAAATTCATGGAATATTGTCAATTACTCAAAGGTACATGACAATACCTAAATACATTAAAAAAATACTTAAGCATATAAAGTGTTTTAATGAAAAAAAAATCTTTAATTATTTTTCTTAAAAGCCAGAACCAGATTATGACAATCAATGTTCTGCCAAGCTTCATTATCACTTATTTAAACAAAAAAGGTGACTTGCAGGTGGGTGATCCTTAGACATTCTGGGTAATTCAAGCTGCTGTCGTTTTATTTTGAAGTGACAGCACACGTTTGAGGCATATGCTGTGATTTGTAGCTAAACGTGAGTTTGGGAAATGAACCTTAGCTTTTATTTTCCACTTTTTCCTTTTCTTTTATTCCTTCCAATCCTCGCTTCATTATAACATTCTTTTTTTTTATAACATACTTAATTAGCCTACTTTTGAGGGAAATGTTTTGTACTTGGTGTTCCATAGACACAATATATTCTCCCACAAGAAAAACATAACTTTAGAGTTTGATTTAAAAAATGTGTTTCCTGCAAAGAATTATTTTGAAATAACTCAATTTTGGTTATGTCTTATTAATATGTGCCAATTGTAATTAATTTGAAAAATAAGGTTCACAAATGAACATGGTTCACATTTCTTAAATTTATGTTACCAATTCCTTCCGTTCAGACTAACATAGTATATTTTAGGCATTTACAAAATAAGCATCTTGATGAATAACTTTTTCTGAGTTTTTATAATTATTACAAAAAATTTTTTTTAAAAAAAGTTTAAGTGTAAAAATGCCACGAAAATATATGCTTTGACAGTATGCCAAACAATTCATGTCAAAATCTCAAAATAATGAATCATGAAATATTTCTAAAACGTTACTTATTGAAGCATAATTATTTATATCATAATGATCAAAACAAAGAGTTTTTGTCTTAGTCTGTACACTGAATGTGCTTTGTTTCCATGTGGCTCTATCTATCGGTAAGGGTGGTAAAGTGAATCGCAAAATTGGGTTTTATTCTTGATTCCTACGTACAAGCTCCTCCTTGTAAGATTATCTTGTTATAGGTGATTTGCATGCATTTAAAATGGCAAGGGGGGAGGGGAGAGAGAGAGAGAGAGAGAGAGAGAGAGCGAGAGAGAGCGAGAGAGAGAGAGAGAGAGAGAGAGAGAGAGAGAGAGATTGAGTTTGAATCTATAATGGGAAGGAGAATACAGTCGCCAATCAGAAAGCTTCCTCACGCTCTCAAACCACTTGGCTTTCACGTTCCTCTCCACGCAATGGGTTTTAGACGCGGGGTTCTCTTGCTCCCCTGTTTCCCTCCAATGGCATATTAATGCGTTAAGTGAGAATGCTTCAATTACAGAACGTGACAAATATCAAAACGCATCCGGCTGGAGGGTCTTTCACTCCCGCATTTGTGTTAGCACCAAAGGCTGGATGACCCTTTACTTCAGCTTTACTCTTCAGCGATTCCCGCCACCTTGAACCTTCCCTACCCACCTTTACATACCGTCCACCCTTTGCACGACCCCTGCGAGCTCCTCTCGGTTTACTTTTCCACATGGCCATCAGCATTCTTAAACACGTTCTACGCGCTGTGGCTGCTCTAATGTGACGGCCTAAACCCCCTGAAGAGAGGGAGTGATAAAGAGCACCGCCACCGCCTTCCAGTAACCCCAGCACGGCTCCTCCCGCGCTCCTCACAGGGCGTTCTAAGTTTAGCCAGAGAACATTCCACCCGCCCTTCAGCTCCTTTCACGGACCGCGGCTTCCACCGCGCGTGGCGGAGGGATTTTTTTATTGTCGAATAACCCCCTCTAGCGCCGAGCTGGCGGCATCCGAACCGCCGCCGCCGGGCGGGGAGAACGCAGGGCTTAGCGGAGCTCTGTAGCGCTCGCGACTGTGGCCCTGCCCTCTGCGCCCACCTGGACCGCCGCGGGGCGAGCGAGCGGGGCCAGCGGGCCTCCAGAACCCCCTCGCGGTCCGCCCGCCGCGTCGCCCCGGTCCTCAGGGGGAAGCTTCCGAGTCCCACCGAGTAGCCCTCGGCTTCGCGGCTTGCAGCGACCCGAGCGCCGAGAGGGGGCGGCGCGGGCGGGCGGGGGCGAGCTGTCCGCCTGAGGCGCGCTCGGCGCCGCCGTGGATGTAACCACGCGCCGCGCGGCGCCCGGGCTGCTCGGGGCGAGCGGTCCGACGACGGCGTCACGCCGCGGGCGCTCGGGGCCCGGGAATCGCAGCGCCGAGGCTGCGACGATGCTCGCGACCTCCGCCGCCAAGTCACCGCCTCACGGCGCCGCCGACACCTCGGCGAGCCTAGGCGCCGGGCACCCGCCCGCTTGCAGCTGCGTGTGACTCCTTCGCTGTCGCTTCCTGCCTCTTTCCGCTCTCAGGACTCAAAGCAGCCGAGGCGGCCGCCGAGCTGGACCCTTTCGCCCCCCGCGGGCAAGTTTGGGCGACCCGCGCTGAGGAGCCGCTGGGTGGACGGCCGCCGGCCCTCAGCACTCCCACCCCTCCAGAGGCGGAAATATGAAGTGAGCCGGTGGCAATGTCGGGAACCGACTGGTGTTAGGACGGCGGGCTCTGCAGCCGTGCAGTTGGGGGGCTGAGTGCTTGTGGGCGGGGGACTAAGTGAGACCTCAAAGATGTCCGGGCAGCGGCTGTCACGGTTGGGATACGGCGCAGACGCGGCCGACTTGGATGTGCAAGCCGCTGCCGACGCCGCTCCGCCGAGGGGCTGAGGGCTCGGACGGACCGCAGCTCCTGGGGACCGCTGCACCCTCAGACTGCTCGAGGCCTCCCCAAATCGCCTCGTTCGGCCCCCCGCTTTCACGCAACCGGTCGGAGGAAAGTTGCGGTGGTCCCCAAGCCCGGGTCACAGCTACCGCGCCTCCGCCGCTTTGGGCTCGGCAGGTGCCCACTGGAGGCGCTCGGGCCGCCCCGAACTGCCCGCTCCTCCTGGCGCTCCCTCCGCCCGTGGCCGCCGAGCGGCGCCCTCCCCCGGCCCCTCCCCCGCGCCCCAGCCCGAGCTCGCTCCTGTGCGCGCGCCCTCCCGGGCCCCAGTGAATAGTCCTCGCGCGAGCGGGACACGGTGGTGGATGCAATTCCGCTCGCCTCCAGCCGCCAGGAGCATCCCGGCGCTGCGGGCGGCGGCGTCTTCCCAAGCAGCTGCACCTGTACCTTGGGCAGCCTGGACTCTCGTGCCCTGTGCTGGGGGCCTGGCACGGGGGCAGCCCCGGGACACCCCCCTGCGGGCCGGGTGGCGGAGGAGGAGGAGAAGGAGGAGGAGGAAGAAGACGTGGACCGGGACCCCCACGTCGTCCACAACGTCTGGTTGCGCTGCTGCCACTTCTTCCTGAGGGGGAGAAGAGAGCCCGAGAGCGCCATGGGGGGCTGTGAGGTCCGGGAATTCCTCGTGCAGTTTGGTCTCGTCTTGCCTCTGCTGACAGCTTGGCCGAGCGACTGCAGTCACGTCTCCAACAACCAAGGTAAGGCAAGGGACACGGGAGGAGGGGGCGTGAAGGGGAGCGAGCTCTGCGGACTGGTCGCCTCCTGCGGGCAACTTTCCGCCTAGGTCGTTTTCTCAGGTCTCATCACGGGAGAGCATCCTGAGTGTCCCCTCATTGGTGCCCCCAGTCTGCATCGTTTGGGACCGGTGGCCCTGCAAGTGATGGTTCCTTTTACGTCTAGAATTCTTGAGCACCCACTGCACGTGGGTCCCACTGCTGGTGGCCACCAGAGCGCTCCCTCCTTCGCTCTTTCTCCGAAGGTCAGGCTCCATGACACAGACTTAGTGGAAAATTCGGGCAGTCACTCACGGGGTAAAACGTGGATTTTCCCACGTGTCTTGCAAGGGAGAGCACTCCACCAGTGTCGTTTTACATATCAGCCTTTCCTGTTGGGTAACTATGCCCCCTCCCCTTGCTTTAGCTTCAGCTTCAGCATCTATACCACAAAGACAACTTCCTGTAGACTTGTTCAGAATTTTTAAAAGTTAAAAGTTGATTGCCCGCAGTCCGTGCCGTGGTTCCTTTTTAGCTTGCAGTCAGGACGTAGATGAGCCCGAAATGTGACTTTCCAAGTTGTGACTGTTTTTTGAAGTCAACTCACTGACAGATTTTGGAATTCTGTTTTGGTGGGCAGGTGAGCAGAAAGTGAGTGGTGTGTCCAGCGATGAAAAGCACTTAGAATATTTGAGCATCCCTCCCCACTCTTTTTACTCAGTCTTTGTAAAACAGAATTTCTGGTACAAAACAAGAATTTCTGATCTGCAATATATCCCTTGCATATTCTAAATCTTATTAAACTGTGGTGAATAGGCATAAAAGTTTTAGGGCAGTGTGCTGGCTGGCTGCTGTTGCTGGTGCTGTGAAGACCATTAGCCTGTCCCCGGTTAAATCACATGGTTAAAACCTCAAATACGAAACATAAAACAGATTTTAATATGGTTCAAACCTCAAATATAAAACCTCAAGTATAAAACCTCAAATATGAAACCTCAAATATTAGCAGGGTTAATTATCATTACTATTTAATATGTAGCATTTGTTTCAGGATCTTGAAATAACTTGCAGATATAAAAGTGGAGGTGAGGTAACTTGAAAGTGAATATTTTGTGTGTGAGAATGTTAAAAGAAAACAAGTAGGTAATATGGAGCTTTTTTTTGTCATAATTACATGATGTTTTAGAAATGTAACTATTCAGGATTAGCATTTAATTGTTCTCAGACAACTGATAATTTCAGCAAGTTTTCCTAATAGTAATTGTATTTGACCCAGCAGAGTGCAATCACAAATGCATATGTGAATTTGGAAACCATGTGCAACCCTAGTGACTTTGAAGCATTATCACATGAGAAGTGACAGCTGTGGGGCTCTACATCCTTATGACCATGTAGCCATCACATCCCTCACTTGTTTTCAAAACTATGCTGTGGAATCTCCACGAGTTAGTTACTTTACATTTGTGAATATAGAGTACTTGTTTAGAAATGGTTTTTCATTGTAAGGTGAGAACAGAGTTTTAATACTGGGGAAGATAAACTGTGCTTTATCTTCATACCTAAAGATACTAAAAAGAGGTATATACCTTGAGAGACAAGTTTACTGCAAGTTTTCAGCAGTTATTCCCAAGCAATCGTTTTCCCAAATCATTATTTATTTTTAATTTTTGTGGTACAACAACTTTTATAAGCTCTATAAATATTAATAGAAGACACGTATGTGAATATCTAAAGAACTGAAGTAATATGCTACGAAATGTATTGTGTTAGCTTGATTTCTCAAATTCTACATTTAAGAACGCAGATGTATTAGCTTCTTGCAATAATTTTTATTTGTTTAACGATTTCAAAGAGCTTACAATAGTATTGAGAAATGTTTTATGTGAAACAAAAAGTACATGGCTTATTTTTTCAATTAACACAGTTACGTTAGTTAATAAGTATTACCCAGTTTATTCTCAGTGAAATAGTACAGTGTCTATTAAAATATGAATACATGGTAATATATGAGGACATCTTCAAAAATCATGGAATATATATAATTAAAGCCTATGTCTGGAGTTGAAAACATGTTATAGCAAAATAAACTTATTTTTAAATTCTATTTTCCATAAACTTTTTGAAATGCCATGTTAATAAAAATGTAGACTGTGCCTAACAATATACTCAGATATAAAACTAAGTACAGGTTTAAATTGAGTGCGATGTGGGGGAGTCTTTTAAACAAGATTATGGAGAGAATATGATCAGATTTATTATTGTCAGAAATGAGTGAATAATTGCTTATTAAATACCTTTACACCATAAAGTTGCAGTGATTATAATTTCCCCAGTAATAAGTTGCAGTAATTTTTAAATTCCGAAATCATTACACTGATGAATGTTTTAGCGTTATTGTCTTAATTTATAGTTTTATGGATAGATAACATAAATAGAAACATCTTGTCAGGTTTGAACATTGAAAACATAGACCATGACTTGAGTATCTATGGAATCTATGGAAAGATTAGTATAAAATATAAATGTGATTTTTATATGCATAAAAATAAATATCAAAATACGACTAATGTTTAGCTTTGAAGAGACTTAGTAATTTTAACTTAAGGGAAGAAAGGATTAGTTTGACTGAATTATATTAAATCCTACTAGCACCATCATTGGTTTATTGTAAACAGAAACAGTTTAAAATGGGAAAAATGACAAAAGGATTTTTCTCTTGCCTTTTTAACTGACCATAAAGGTGAGCTCCAAAAAAACAGAATAAATCTATTTGATTTCATATTCTTATTTCTAGACCACCTTGAATTCACCAAAAAAGTAAAGAGACTTCCTAGATCACTTTATCTGATTTAAGTATTTGGAAATATTTTTTGTGTTCAAATTCTGTCAGACTCCACCAATTTCCCTATTTTAGAATCACGGTATAGGTTAGATGCTGTAAATGTTTTTTAAATACCATGCTTTATACTTATATGGAGTACAAGTTTTCATTCCTGTACTAAACATTCACTTGAATTTAAAAAGTGGACTTGCTTCATATACAAGTTAAATGTGTGTGTGTGAGAGAGAGAGTGTGTGTGTACGTGTGCGTGCATGTCTATGTGTATGTCTGTGTGTGTGTATTTGTAGCCACCAGGGTTCTGTTTGCTCCAACAATTCTCCACTTTAGCAAATAATTTGTAGCCTCAATGAGTCAATACATCTCTCAGGGTAGGGCTCAAGTTTCTATAAAGAATTACTGACATATTCAGGTAATTCATTAAATTTAGGCACATGTGTCTGATAAACTTATTCCAGTACTGAAACTGTGAATTGTTTTTTTGCAGGCAATTATGGATAAATGAAATAAATAATAATAGCATGCTTTCACTGAAATTATTAAATGCTTTTGAAAAAATCCTTTGAGTCATAAATATCAGAAATAATATAAATCAAACTGAAAAATGACTGCTTACCAGTTATCCCCTAAAATAATTGAACTGCCATAAGTATTGTTCACAAACTAAAAAAATTGAATATTTTAAATTTTTTTAGATATGGAGAAATTGAGGAAGCTTCTTGGAATATTAGGTGAACTTTTACAAAATTGTGAACTTTTAACAAATTAACTTGTACTTACAAAAATATAGCTTATATATATATATATATATCCATATATATACATAAGTATAACTTACATTTACCAAAATATAAGTGAACTTTTATCAAAAATAGTAAAATAATATTAAGTTGGAAAATTCGAAGATTAGTTAAAATATTTCAGTACCATTGATTTAGAAAAATTACTTTCTAGAGATAAAAAAAATCATGGTTGTATATGTGAAATAAATTGTTATATTGATTTTATGAAAAGTATAATTTTATTATACATTTACAAGTTTAAGCAAGTCACTGTATAATTAATCATCATGAACAGCATCAAAAGCAAAAAATTAAATATTTTTGTGCAGATTTAGTAGTGATTATTTAAAAATTTCTTGTGCTTGGTTTGGAATAAGAGTATCTAAACCATTTTCCTGCACAGAAATTAATTATACCATGGTTGTTTAGGATCTATTTCTTCACACTAAAAGTTGCTTAGAAGAATAGCATGAAAACTAGTATACTATATATTTACAAATCACATTCATATGGATTCAATGAGGGAGGAAAATATATGTTACATATAACAATAAAGAATTTATAATTTATACTGTTGAGTGAATGTTTAAAATAATAGGATATAAAGCCATACTTTCTTTGATTTTTTCAGTATTCATTGCTAGTATAAATACCTAAGTACAAGCATAAAATGCGTCATCAATTTGTCATATTTCCCTCTAACTACCATCATATCATATCACATAATCTCAATGTTATTTTTTCTCTTCCCTCTTCTTCCTTTTCATAAGTATAAGCATTTCATACTATATGCTCCATTTGTCCCAAATGGTGAAAGAATAGATTCTACTTCACATTGTGTTATCTACTAAATCTCAACAGGAACAGACATTTTTGAATCCTTGAATGAACATTTTGTGAGATTAAAAACAGGGAGATTGATCTAAGTAATTCAAATAGTTTTACTTTTTTCTATGTGCATTTTCAACTGTATTATCGAAGTTCCAGAAGAAATAACTTAATGCAATTCCATTATCCTTAAAATATGTATTTAAAATTTGGAAATAAAGTATTTCTGCTCTTGCGTTATTGTATTGAGTTTGTTCCCTGGAATCTAAAATGTGATAATGGAATGGAAAGGGTAAGTTAAGGCCATCATTAATCTATAATCTTGTGGAGCTTGATTGAGTAAATATTATTTTCATTGTTGTGAATGAAAGTTCTGAGGTAGAAAAAACTAGAAAGGATATGTTATGCTCTAGAATTTTAAAACATTCATTTGGGTGGCAGAAAGATCTCCCATTTGCTGATTAATTCCCCAAATGCCTGTACCAGGCCGAAGCCAGGCGCTGCAAGTTCTCTCATCTTTGGGATGGGGACTCCCT